AAAAAAAAAAAAAAAGAAGAGTGAAAGGGGAGAGGAAGAGTTAAAAAGTGTCAGCAAAGGGAAAGAAAATAAGAAGCGTGCAGTAGGCGATGACGCAGCCACCATCTGATCGTCGTTTCATTTCACAATATGACTGACAGGCATTTAACAGTAGTAAATAAATACTGGAGATGAACCCTGTAAGGCCAATAAATGGAGTAATCTATCTGTAGATCCTTCCTTCCAGTCATTGTTCTTCATTGCTTAACGTCTTAGACCCTGGGTCTGTGCGGACACTGTACGATCAATCAATTTAGATCGCTCAATTGACTTGTCCATGGAGAATAATAACGTTGGGTTCCTGGAACTTCAATACCTACTGTACCATGGTCTTTCCTGCGACTTGTCTCCTGTGCGATGGAGTACCAGTGGAACCGGAGTCAAGTCCTGTAACTCCTTTAAGGCTGGAACTGGAGACTGCCAAGAAGACCCCCGGCTATTAATAAACATCTTGAATTGGACGAGGAAGCTGTTTCCCAGCGGAAGGGAAAGAGAAAGATACACTCATCACCATTTGAATCTGAATCTTTAAGAGTAGATAAAGTCGTAGTAGTGAGTAGTCCATATGTTCGCATTGATAGTACATACCAGTAGTAACTGTAAATGTCAAGTATCGGCATGCCAATAAAGAATAAAGATTACCATACGCGTATCATCGATACCAAAGTCTAGACTTCCCCCGCGACTCTCAGGCACCAGCGAGGTGTTTCCGCCTAAGGCCAACCACGCCCGCCTTTCTCGCCTGTACGGTCAGGCAAATAAATCTCTCTTTTCTATCAACGGAACAAAGTGCTCTGCAACCACGTCGACCCCTGCCTCGTCCCCGCCCAGCGACCAGATGGTGCTCAGCCAGAGGGTCGCCAACTATTGGCCCTCTTCCCTTCGACCATGTCGACGCCCTTATCCTCTGCCCCGCGTGCCACCCCCGGCATGAGCGTGCCGGCGACTCAGAACACCGCGCCCGTCATCAAGTTTCGGTGTCTCTACACCCACGATATGCGCCGCAAAGCCAAACGCTGGCAAGATGGCTACCTCAGATACCACACGTTTAACAAACGCATCATGGCTTATGATATCACGGGAAATTTTATTGGTGACCTACACTGGCGACAGGGTGACGCAATCCAGGACGGGGACGAGCTGGAACTGGATAGAGGCGTGTTGATTCAAGTCTGCGAGCCAATGGAGAAGACAGAGACAGATATTTCCGGTCTTTACAGCAATAAGAAAAGCCAGGGATCCCCATCACGGCTGGGGGAACCACCGACGCCGTCTTTACGCACATCCACTTCTCTACGATCCTCAATCGGCTCCCAGTCGTCTCGCTCCCTTAATGATCTGTTAGGCATCAAGAAGACACCTATCGGGCACATGGTCTCTCCGTATGAAGAAAGACATCCGCCGGAGCAGAGTAAAGGTCATGCACAACCACCTGAAAGAGCTGTAAAGAGGCAAAGGCTTGCATCGGAGAACGTACTACGTGCACATGGTTCGAGTCGGCCCCAGCCCGTAACTATTGATTTATCAGAGGAGCCTCCTGCAGTCAAGCCAGCTGCTGTAGCTGCAAATACTAGATCAGTAGTGCAGCCCAGGAAGACTCCAAGCTCAGTGAAAGCTCCTTCAGCCACAGTATCGCCACCAGACAAATCACCGAGTGGTAGAGCTCAGCCCATTGTTGCTAAGACCCAGAACCCTGTCACCAATGCCCCTCCACCAGCCGAGAAATCCACGAGGATTGCTGTGGATACTCCAGTCAACACACTTAGGTTGTCCACGGAGCGTCCGAGGAGAAAGTTGATGTATAGCGCCTTATTACCTGGCCAAACAGCCTCAAAAGTATCCCTTCCCTCCCCCTTGTCAGAGAAGACAAATGTACCCGTGCGAGAAACCCCGCCGTTAGTATGTTCCTCATCTTTCTATTAGCGCTATAGACTGACGGCCCCAGGGAGAGTGACTTGACAAATCCCGATCCTGTGCCAACGAACGCTGATTTCATACCCTCTGCTTCAACGCTGGCTGCGTTAGATGAGATGCCCAGTGGCTCCAGATATGGCCCGGACAAGACCGCAGCAGATAATCGCGCGCAAGGTACTCTACCAAAGTCTGGTTCGACTGGCCTCCGCAAGTCCTACTCAGATCCCACTACTTTAACAACTGCAAATGGCGTCCGACCGCGATCACTACCTTTTAAAAGCCCGCTTAACCGTTGTATGGAAGAAGATGAACCCCGTGAGCAAGGACCCTGGACTTCTGAGGCCCTAGACCTTTTCGACTTCTGGCCGCCTGGGCGACCCAAACCTAATTGATTTACGTTTATGATACCCGATACCCTTCAGATTGTGTATCCATGGCTACCATCACAAATTTTCTCAAATGATTGGGCGTATGAAACCATTGTCATGAGATAACTTGCCTATGATTTATGCGAGGAGGCGCTAGACTGTTGATACCCTAAATTCAAAAGAAGTAATGTCAACTGAACAGTCTATTCAGCTCGTAAAGAGGAGTATGGGCAATAGTCATGTCGCTCAACAGAACATAGCATAAAACATACCTTCCACTAGTCATCTGATCAATTGGAAAAACAGAAACGCATTGCTCTGTGGTTGTATCTCGTGGTAAATAAACATACCAAACCAATGATTTGCGCCACGTCATGTGTCCAGGCACGGGAGCTTAAGTATTTAATTACTTAGTAGTGTAAGTCTGTACATGCTTCAGCCTACATTTCTTCATCCACCTCACAGAACCTAAAACAAGCAAAGAACAATAATGCGATCTTAAACGACACATTTCCTCAATACGTATTACTGACCATGGCGCATGCAATGCACCTAGGTGAAGTACCCCCAGTCTTCCAAATCGACCTCTCTCTTCCCCCATCCGAAAGATACATCCACGTCGCAAGACAATACCACAACCACCTAGTTTCCATAAAGAGTCTCTTTGACCAACTCATCACCGAAGCGCTCCCCAAATCCCTCCAACCATGGATCAAAAGACTATCACGTCTATCTCTGCGCCGCCTATACACCCACGAAGAAACAGAAGAAATCAAAGGCATTAGCCGCGCCACTGGGATAGAACTATACTTATTAGTCTCATTCAACGTGCTCCTGGACTTACTAATGGGCTGCACAAGCGGCGCAGCACTAACGAAACTTGATAACCCCGCAGGCGAGCAATCGCAGCCTCGACTCTTCCATTTCCGGACCCTAGACTGGGGCATGGACGAGCTCCGCAAGTTGCTCGTCTGCTTTGAATACGTCCGCGGACCTGATTACGATACCGTCCTGGCGACGAATATCACTTACATCGGGTTTGTGGGTGTGTTGACCGGTGTCAGGAGGGGACTTAGTGTTTCTCTGAACTTCAGACCGAACCATGATACGAGCAGCTGGCTGCGTAATTATCGGTATTATGGAAGTCATTTACTTGTGCTCTTCGGGTGGAGACGGTCTATATCCTCTATGCTGAGAGAGTATATCCTTCCTTCGGATGGTCCGTTGCCCCCGCCGGCTCTCGACAAGGTCTGGCCGACGGTAATGCGGACACCGTCTACAGCTGCGTATCTGATCTTTTGTGATGGGGTCGATGCGGTGGTCCTGGAGAAAGACCACCGGACAGCTCACATAGAACGACAATCATCTTTCATCGTCGCAACAAACAGTGATCATGTCACCCCCTCGACGAGGGAGAACGGACACCAAGGGGACCATGTCGGTGCGGCCCTAGGAACAGGGGTGGCCGTCTCAGTTGTGGATCTCATAGGAGACAGCGAAGAACGGAGGAAATTCATGCAAGCGCACTGGGACAAGAAAGTCAGGCAGGCGAGGAAAACCACTTCAATCCCAGAATGCACGTACTCAACTGCCCGCAAAGACCCTCTCAAACGCACTCGCGCGTCTCAGAGGGGAGATGGATCGTTACATGAAGCCGCCCCAAATGGATCTTCTTTACCTGCTCCTAGTTCGGGTACGCTGGTGGACTCCCAAGTCACAGCTACGCTAAAGGAAGCTGTTAAATGGACGACGACATACCCTACCACCAATGAGATGACCCATTTTGCGGCGGTGATGGATCCCACGGAGGGAAAGGTAGTCTGGATCAGACGGTACTTGGAACCATTATCATTTGATACACGCTATTAGAATTGGTTTCGATACTGGACAGGGCATCTATGATAACTACAACCACAGCCACAACTAAGGCTCCCCCCTTCCCGGACAGATAGAAGGACGCGGCGGCAGCAGGACAACTACCTTACAGATAATATACGTGAGTTGGCTAGCATCTAGACCTTCTGGAAGAATAGAATCGAGCTAGTAGCATCTCTCAAACTTCCTGGCCCCTTTAAGCCATTCAAAATCAGCAATATAACCGAGTACCTACAATCGTCAGCATCTTTAGAGGTCGCATTACGGTATAGAGAGATGATTGGAATCTATCTAAGTTTCTGTCTTCAGTAGATATTGATTGACTCGATATGGGGCATGGGGCATCTTATGGCTACCTTAGTAGCCCTTGTACTTTGTAGATAATAGGTCTCAATTCTGAGTATAACCCACCTGGGGAGTTTCAACTTGATTGTAAATCTAAACATACACCAAATTCTAGTTGCGGTGGGCTTAACCGACACTGAGGGCAAGGATATTGCTAAATTAATCTATTCCATACCTTTAAACAGCGTGATGGTGAGTACACGCCCATCCAACAAAAGAGCCCTGGTAACAGTGACTCCTCAGCTATCTTTCTTACTTGAATAAAATATGAGGAATAGATCCAACCCGGACACATCTCCTCAACGGCAGATGCAGCTTCTTCCGTGTACCAATCCCAATCTCTAGACCGGAATCGTCGCTAGGAGAAGACATGAAACGCGTCGTGTCATCGACAGACACGTTCGCAAAGACCACGGTAGCGACATTGACGGAACTCACGTCGAGCCTGGGAATTATGAGGAGCCATCAGAACTATTGATTTCAGCACTGGTAGAATTCAGGTCAGTCCCGTTCACCATTCAGGAGATAATCACTCGGCAATGGTAAGATTGTAGTAAATCGTCTAGTCTTTAGAATTACTTAAATAGCATCGTAAATCAATGCTCACTTCGAACCCTTTTCATTGTTATGTAGGTGGATGTACTCCCGCTACATGCAAATCATTCAACACTATCATTAACTGCGGATCAGATTTATGATACCAATTATAAAAAAAAAAAAAA